CCTGGGAAGCAAAAACTGGTTGTTATCTCAACACGGCACCAAAACCAGTTTACGACCCTACAGGAGGTACAAGAACCCCCCGTGGAACGCGTCTCTTCTGGGATGAAACACTTATCACATCGTCCTGGTTTTGACTGGGATAGGGTTAGTTTTGCTTTTCAGCAGCCAGAAGAGCTCCGTGGTTTGTTTTTAGCCTGGGATTAATTACGAGAAGGCTGTTGACAGCGCACTGATGTTTATAGTTGGTGCTGAGACATCAAGGACCTTTCAGCTTCCCATGATTTGCCAGTGTGCCGGAGCACAACAGGCTGGGGGGAGCATGGCCGGGACAGAGGGTCCACAACTCCCCTTGTGAGTGAACTCACACTTAGGATTGAGGGCCAAACTGGCCACTGGAGTATTCCAGATCATGGAACCTCATGCCCAGTATATTAGGTCAGGGCTGACTGGGAAGAAGGGCTCTTGCTCTTCTGAGAACTCTCTTCCGAGGGCTCTCGCAGATTTTTGGGATGTTCTCTCTCTCTCTCGTTCCCTTTTCGTGCCTCTCACTCATCCGGGATTGCGGTGCCAGGACTTAACCCGTTTCGGGATCGTTTGCCGGATGGGACAGGTGTTGGTCACCGAGTGGTGAGCAACTGCATCAAGCATCATGTGTTTGTGTATATTATTATAATTGTACAAATATATATATTCTTTTATTATTACTTTTAATTTTATATTAGTATTAAATTGTTCTTATCTCAACCCACGAGTCTCTTCTCTTTTTCCCTTTAATTCCCTTCCCCATTCCCCAGGGGTGAGGGAGGGTGAGCGAGCGGCTGCGTGGTGTTTACTTGCCGGTGGGTCAAACCACAACACGGCAGTTGAATCCCAAGATACTGGTTGTCCCTGTAACTCAGTAAAACAGCAGAAATCTGATGAAATACCCTGTGGGAGATACCCTGGGGTGGGACAAAGGAAAACACAGGAGCTTTTCTGCGTTCCAGTAACTCATTGGCCAAAACAGGTCACACTAAGCCTTTCAACCAGAGGGTCCGTTGAGCTGCTGAGGCCCAGGAGGTGATTTCTGGCCACACTTCGGCTCCACCGCTCACCCAGCCCTTGTTTTGTTCCTCCTCAAGCAGAGAACAGGTCGCGATTCCTGCTCCTTTGCCCGCAACTCACCTCTGCCAGAAGGACTATCCTCTTCCCGTCTGGCCAGATGACGTGGTCCACCTGGGACCTCACCCTCTCCCAGGTCAGCTCGGGCGTACGCAGGCTGGCCTGAAACACAGTGTTAGAACAGTCAAAGCACTGGCAAAAGATCAAAATCCAGAAGCTACGTAACAGGGAGGAAAAGAGGAAGCAACTCGCTGGCGTTGCCCTGGGCTTACAGTTTCCTTTGGGTCCGGCTGCACTCTCTGACCAACGAAACCTTCATGAATCACAGCCTGGAACTATTTTTATGATGACAACAACATCAAAGCTCCAGCAACGACTATTGTTGGAGCTCTTCTGGCTGAAGAGGGCTCATGGTCACCAACCACACGGCTGTTGTCACTTCTTCCTGGCCAGGTGGGCTCGGGAGCACAGAAAATGGCTTTAAACCCTTCGGTTTGGCCACCAGACAAGACCCTCCTGGTTTTCTGCTCGTCTCTAAGCAGCGTCGATGTCAGTGCCGTCCGGTGGCGCACGGTGGGGCTGAGGGCGCTGCGTTGCACCAGGCTGAACGCTGGGCTGGGTCTTAATGGTTTAAGATGGCAAAAGCAGAGGGACTGGGCTGGAGAGGACAACTCACTGGCTCCCTCGGGGAAGGAACGCAGCTGGTGGACACCAGACATTGTGCTGGAAGCTGGAGCAATTTGTCTGGCTCGCTGGCGTCCTTTGGGATCACCGGAGTGAGGACGACGTATCTGACAGTGTCTGCTGACACGGGGAGCGATGGAGTGTTTGATCTCCTCCCAGGTGCTCGCTCAAGCGGCACGGGGCAGACATGGCTGCCGAAGGGTCCCGAAAGCACCGTCACCCCACCCCGTCCCCGCTCCCGACGCGCGTCCCTGCGCTCACCACGTCGATCTCGGTGTTGGAGTGCCCCATGTTGCAGACGATGCAGCTGTTCTTCATCCGGTCCAGATGTTCCCTGGTCACCACGTTCTTGTTGCCTGCCGGACAGCGATATCCATAAAAAACTACCCACGTTCACTTCCCCCACCTTTTTGCCTTTTCCTTTGGAAAAAGGTGGACCCAATTATGGGTGGACACATCCCTGACGACCCTCCTGCCTCGGGGACCGTGTACCTGTGCAGGTGATGACGATGTCAACTTGTCTGATGACTTCATTGAGCTTCACGAGCCGGAATCCATCCATGCTAAGAGGAGAGGGGGGAAAAAAGTAGTCTGAGAAGCAGCAAAACATTCCAAAAATAGAAAAAAATCCCATCAAGTGATTCTCAGATACTTATTTTAACTTTCTAATGCCAGACTGGAAACCAGCACGGCCGTGTGCGAAGGGCCAGGTGCCCCGAGCCATTAGGAGGGTTTCTGGAGTCAACCTGGAGGATCTGGGACTGTTGTGGGGAGAAGTGAAAAGAGATTTTGGGGGTTTCCCGTTTTCTGTCACGGCCTCCGCATCTGCAAATCTCCACTTTCCATCGAGGCGGCTTTTCGAAAGCTGCTCCTGCTGCAACGCACATGCGGGAGATGCGGATCCGCCCTCCTGCTGCAGAACCCTTTCTGATGTGGATTTAGATCATCTTAAAAAAGACCCAACCACAGCCAGCCCACGGATGTCTACCACGAACCTCACGATCCATATTTAGGTTCCTACACGATCTTCAGGAGCGCTGAGCACTCCTTCATCTTCCCTGACTTCACCGAGCAAAGGCGCATCCGACAACACGGGTAGGAATTTACTATTTTTTTTTTTAGGATTTGTTGACAGTCCTCCTGAGAACTTATTTCTGTGACTCTCACAAGCTGCGAAATCACAGTTACTATTCAAAAAAAGGAAATTTTTTTTCTGCTCAATGTCCCATTTACTGAGTGTTTTGGGTTTTTTTCCCCACCGCAAACCCCCTACGAGAGGGGCCGCGCGGTGGTGCCCTGCGCAGGGAAGGGGCTGCCACAAACGACCAGATTCACAATTTGGGATGTGGGTGCCGGATGTGCCACTCATGAAGGTGGCCAAGCAGACCGAGAATTGATCAGCTCTGCTAATTAAGCAGGGCTCGTTAGTCTTCTCACCGCGATAGCCCTTTGAAGGCATGCTGTTAGGACGTGGCTGCGGGTTTAATAAGGCTCCAGGTGTTTTTGGGACTCTGCTTCCATAGTCACACAGCCCCACCTCGCACCTTGGGATGCAGGAGCAGCGTTTCTGCACCGAAACAACCTCTACGTGGAGGAAACGAGGTGGGGTGCAACGGCAACGTGCCCGTGCGAGGGGACAGCCGCGTGCTCAGCCCTGCGCCGGGGCACCGGCGTGAGCGAGGAAGGGTTTGTGAAGTGAAAGTGGTCGCAGAAAGTGAAACATCCCTCGGGTGAGGGAGAGCCCAGCTTTGCTCTCCAAAGGTCATGGTTCACTCCCAACATCCTTTCAAGCCACATCATTAAACTCTTTCAAGCCAGGTCGTTAAAACTCTGGTTACGATTACGTGAGCTGGCACGTGGGATCCCTGGAAGTGTTCAAGGCCAGGTGGGATGGGGCTTTGAGCAACCTGGTGTAGTGGGAGGTGTCCCTGCCCATGGCAGGGGGGTTGGAACTGGATGATCTTGAAGGTCCCTTCCAACCCAAACCATTCTGTGATTCTATGATACAGATAAACCAGGTGATGCTTTAGTGCAGGAACCCTTTTCTGGCTGTAGGACAGAGCTGTGGGTCCCTCTGAGGGTGCAGAGAAGCCATGAACCCCTCACCCGCACCTCTCTTGGGAGGGACCACTGCCAAGCAGCTTCTGGCCATGGTTTTCCTGGGGGAAAAAAAAAAAGCCTGAAGAAGAAGCCGGGCTCGGTGCGACTGCTTACCAGGCCTGGAGGGCACAGATCGGATCGATCTCTGTCACGTACACTATGGAGCCCATGGCCTTCAAAGCAGCACAGCAGCCCTTGCCAACCTGGGGAGGGAGAAGAGCACAGAGGAAGAGTGAGGTGCCGGGAGCTCAGGAGCCACCAAGCAGCTCTACAGCCATGGGAAGCGTATGGGGAACATACAGCTCCAGGTGTCTCTTCTGGAGCCCCAAGGGCCCTTTGCGACCCTCTGGTTGCATATACTTAATTTCTGGGTGCACGAAATTCCTGGATTTGGAGTAATCTAGGAGCTGAGTCAGGCCCAGCTTAGCTAAGAGGGGCACTGAAAAACATAAAAGTGCTGTTGATTTTGGTCCCAAAGAGTATTTTTTCCACCAAAAATATCCTGGTATCTACAAAGCATCACGGTAACGAGAGATTACGCTTATCTCAGGGAAAGTTGAAGAATCTCTTGTAACCTTCACTCCATTTAGGAAGTTTAAGGGTTTAATCTCCAAGAGTTAACGAGCTTTAACCTTTACCCAGCACATACAGCGCAGCTCACGGGAACGGTTAAAAATGACCGAGCCTTGGCCAAAAATCTGATGGCACATGAGAAAACTGTCCAATTTCAGCTCTTGGGGAAAAAAAAAAAAAAAAAAGGAGTCCCAGTATGGCACCCACAGCACAGCTCATCGTAACTGGTGTTCACTGGTCCCAACAAAAACTGCCAAAGGGTGGATATCCCCACCCTTGGGAGAGGACTACTCCATTTGGGGGTGAGAGCCCAGGGGCAAGTCGAGATGAACGCATCTTTCTTGACCACCCCCCAGCACGCGACGCTGCGGCCGCACACTGCATCTGCAGAACCCACATTTCCATATTTTTAAATTAAAATATATAATATACATCCGGTAGAGAAATATATAACGATAATATTAATAGATAATATATCAATATCTGAATATTTAAGCGTTCGGATGCGAAAGCCATTCGGAACGCTGAACACGCCTGGATTTTAAGACTCAGGTTTGGTATTGGATGCTAAAGAAATTTATTGGAAATGGAGAAAATCTTCCGTTTTGGCCAACTCGCCAGGTTTGAAGCCACCTGCAGATGCAGAGCCCCGCGGCCAGCGAAGCCCCGTGGGACGAAGCCGTGCAAAGGCTGCGCCGGTTCGACGTGCGGCGTCACGAGGAGCCCCCTTACCTCCCCGTAGCCACAAACCACCACTTGCTTGCCTCCAAACATCATGTCTGTCGTCCTTTTGAGGCTAAGGGAAAAAAAGGAAAAGGAAAACCATTAAAGACCAGCAGTGAGATCTGTTCCACCAACGATGCTGCGAAGGACAGCGGTCCTCCCCGGCTTCCTCCTCCAAACCACCGCGGCTGCATCCTGTATCCCTGAGGACACACAGCAATTCTGGGTGCAGAGAGGACCCAAAGGGCACCTAAAAACTGATTTTTTTTCCTTCGGTAAGGGTGGGTGCTCCCAGGGAAACGCAACAAAGAGGATGGATTTGGGGTTTGGATGTCTTTTTATTTTTGGTTGGATCCCTTTGGGTTTGTTTGTTGGATCCCTTTGGGTTCTTTGGTTGGATCCCTTTGTTTTGGTACTCTAAAAATATTTAAAATCTTTTCCAAAAATATTTTTTCTTACTGTTTTTTATTTTTTTTTTAAGTCAAAAACTTTAAAATAGTTTTTTTTTTAAAACCCCACAGAAATAACTACAGAAGGAGCAGGCAAGTGGCAATTTACTGCCAGAACCCCAGTGCTCTCCACAAACAAAGCTCTCCCCTTCCACCCTGCTTCCTTCTGGTTTCTCCCTAAGAGTGTCCTACATTACGGGCTATTTTTAGCACACGAGGAACTAGGTTAGCAGTGCAGGGAAGGTGAAATTCCCTTACACTTCCGAGAGAATTTCGATAAAAACCGCAGCAGACTTAACTGCACCTCTGCTCAGCTTTCCCTTGGCCCAGTTTCACATGCCTGGACCAGACTCAACTCAAATCCCAACTTACCTCCCCATGAGGGTCCATCAGCCATCACAACTGAAGACAACGAGATAAAGACTTTAAAGACTTTAATGTTTCATAGCCACTGGCAGCATCTGCTACGCATGGAACGTGGAGCTTCAAGTTGTGTCCTGGGACACTCAAAATTTGGGGGCAACTCTTCATGGGGCAGCTGACTGCCACAACAGAGACTGCCTTGAACCCTGCGACCACAGAGCAGAGACATGGCCATAATAAAGAAGGAAGGGCTACTTTATTAGAGGAATTATTTCAAAATGTTTTCATAGAATTAGAGAATGATTTGGGTTGGGAGGGACCTTCAACATCATCCAGTTCCAACTCCCCTGCCCTGAGCATGAACATCTCCCACTAGATCAGGTTGCTCAGAGCCCCATCCAACCTGGCCTCGAATGTTTCCAGAGATGGGGCATCTACCACCTTTCTGAGCAACCTGTGCCAGTGCCTCACCACCCTCGTTTTCCCCATTATCGCTTCGAGCAAAGCCCAGTTAGTGTCACATTGCATCTCCGAGTACGCTGCTCCGCATCACAGCTTCGCAGATTCGGTGTATTTTGGAGACCAGCTGATGATTTTGATTAAGCTTTTCCAGTTTTGATGGGCAGGAAGAGCAAGAAACCACCGGCTGTTTGCAGTGTAATAAACCATCTCGGCATGGAGGAGCTGGCTACCATCACTGCTGAGTTGACAAGGAGCCCAGAATTTACTCTTTTAGAACAACGTGTGATGGAAATGTGGGGAAGAAACTGCACGTGTTGCAGATCACCCAGGGAAACCTATTTGGTGGTTCACTAACTCATGTGGCTCTTGGATACATTTTAACGATCATCTTCATGCCCCTGTACTCGGACACACGGGTTTTACAAACACGAGCCTTCTTCACTTCTCCTGGTCAAGACGACCACTACCAGGAAGACCACTCCAAAGCTGAGCTGACAAACGAGGCGCTCTACTACCAACCCCACAAAGATTTGGGAAAAAGCTGTTAGAGCAGACACCATGATCAACAGAGAAGCCTACGTTGGGTCTCTGAGATCCTCTGGTGCTACCAGCCTGAAGGCAGCGGCAGCACAGCTGAGCACCAACAGCACGGCCAGATGGGCTTTGATTAAACAGAAGGAGATGTTTCTACACCAGGAAAGAACCGAGAACTGCAGATCTGGAGACTTGTTTAAACTTTAAGCCACACCAAGTCATCAACATGAAAAAAGTTTTTTCTCTTGAAGCAGGCTGTCCTCTCCATGGATGGTTCCTCCTCCACACCACAGCCACCTGGCACAGAGCAGCCAATTTTTTCTCCGGTATCCATCTCATCAGCAGCTTGACTTGTCTAGGAAGTCAAGTTTGTCCTCTGGGAAGTCAAGTTTGTTTCTCATCAGAAACTTGACTTGTCTGGGAAGTCAAGTTTGTCCTTGCTTCTGTGCTTACTTGTCTACAGGGACCACTGCCAGATGCAATATGTCATAGACTGAACTGAAGAATAAAACTTCTCCTAATCTCACTTGGCTTTGACAAAATTTGTCAGTGGGGGAGGCGGGGACACGGACACCCAAATCCATCAAAATAAAGAAAAAGAAGAGAAGGAGAGAGGAAAAAAAAAAAAGATCACTGAGATTTACAGCCTCTCTAGATCACAACTTCAAGTAGTTTGCACTGCATCTCAAGTCCAACAGTCTGAGAAGATACATCATGTTCCCGGTGCCCACGTACCCGTCAGCGACTATTCCCATCCAATCGCTATGGGCTCCTAAAGAGCATCCTCGGGATGCTGCAGAGCTGCTCCCAGTGCCACGATCTGCCTGATGGGATATTTTTTGGGGGAGGAGGAGCACAGAGGGATGCAAACACTTTTCTGCTTGCTTGTACAGCACGTGGCTGTAGATCCTGCAGGACCAGGGTGGAGAGAGGTGGATAAAACATTCATCGGCCCCGTCATTCCCACCTTCTGCACCTACTTATTACGCTCAGCTGGAGGACAGGGTTTAATCCTCAGGCTCAAGTCTACACTTTGGACACGCAACTGTTCTGGGATAAAGTCTTGGTCTACCACAACCTCTTTATCCAATCACAGGATTGGATAAAAAAAAAGGGAAATCAGAAAGGCAAAAACTGTTGTGATGAAGCGGTTGGTTGACTCACACACACGCAACAGACACAGATGGGTTTGATCCTGATCCCACAAAGGTAAGAGGGATGGGAAGCAGTATTGTAGCCATATGTGAGGACTTCTGAAGTTGTCACACTGGAGTATGAGAAGCTGCAAGGCTCCAGCACGGCTCCAGCCATGCTCACCGAGAAGGGAAAAAGCACACGAGTCACCTGCACACATGGAAGGGCAACGTCACCCCGAGAGCACAAAGGCTCGGTGAGCAACCTTGAAGGGCACTGGGAAGTGTCTCATATCACTACGGCTAATGAAATATTTGATGCATCTCCCAGACACTTGGAAAAGAGAAGACGTGCTGTCCACAAGAGGAGCAGAGGCAGAATTTAAGTGATGTGCCCCGTTCATGCGTGTAGCTGGGTTAAAAACATCGAATCCAGACTTCTAGAGACACCAACGTCTTCGCTGCAAGACCGTTATCCTACAAACACAAAGCTCAACGTTTGTTTTCTGCTGTGCATATGTTTGTAGAGCTTTACATACAACTGTACAAACAAGTCTTGGGACCTTCTGACCTGTAGAGAAATAGCTGCTGTCTCAAAATGCCTTGCAGATTCTCACCTACGATACAAACAGGATGGACCAGAGGTAATAAAGGGTCTTTCTTCTCCTCCAACACATCAATTGACTTAAAATGATCTGAAGTGGCAGGTAGGACAGATCCATGGACCCAGTTCCCTGAGGGTTCGACGCAACCCAAGCAAGGGCCACGGCCCCGCTTGAATACGTACCCATCCAGGATGGACTCTCTGCAGCAGTACAGGTTGTCAAACTTCTGCTTTGTGACCGAGTCGTTGACATTCATGGCTGGGACGCAGAGCTTCCCTGCTTTGGACAACTGGTACAGCCTGTTACGAATACGAGAAGAAACAGATGATTAATGAGAAAATATTTCCCTACACTCTACTGTTGCATGCTCTCAAGGTCCTTGTTTCACTGGAGTGAGCAGTAGATATCTGGAGGGTCAAAGATAACCTCTTAATAGGAGCTCCTCGTTTCAGGAGGAGAAATAGCATTCTTCCTTCCACAGATGTTTGAATCCATTTCCCTCCCCTACCAAAGAACCAGGCTGGCAAGAGGCATTTCATAAAAACGTCGAATAGCAGACGAGAAGGTTCTCCAGTTTCCACATGCCTCATAACTTGATCTTACAACCATCCTCTGATGTCCTCAAAATGACAAAACCCCCAAATCCTGCTTCAGATAAGATGAGGGCTCCTGTAATTCCTCTGGCTCTTACAGCTCAAGCCAAACAGGAATGGCCACAGAAGAATAACGTTCACAGCAACGTGAAGCTGCTGTGACCAACACCTGCAGCAAAATGTCCACTGGAACAGCAGTAGGGGTGTAATCACTGAGATGTCACGCAAGAAGCAACCAGGGTAAGGAAGGCATCAACCCGACCTACTTCTGAGAGCGGACTCAACTCCTGGCAGCAGCAAACCCACTAAAAATTAATCTGAACGTCACACTACAGCTACCAAGAGAACCTGAAAACCATGTTCCTGCTCCAGACCTTGGGAAGGAGAACCTGCTCCCATGGTCAGCCTCTTCAGACCACCTCCAGGTTTCTCCTCAGTCTCTCTTTGTCATCTGGGGAGCCTCAGTCCATCCCCTGGAGGTAAGGGGCACGCGTTCCTCGCACGCGTGCATCGGTACCGCCAACCTCAGAGACCAACCTCACTCTTGGCTCCTCAAACAGGGAACGATCCCTGATGCTAAAAACGTCATCAGGTCCTTTTCTTGACCCCACTGGCTGCAAACCTAAATCGGTCGCTTCCTTCTTTCACCTATTTCGTTTCCCTGTTCCGAGGGCTGCCTGCACCTCTGGCCAAACTCCCAGCCAGCTCCAGGAGCTGCAGCCAAACCTTTCTCCCTGCAAAAATGAAGAAAAAAGTGGAATCTGCTCCTTTTCTCCTCAGTCTCCTATTTTCTGTCATCTGTGTACGATCAACTCCACTGGAAAAGCACCTCTGATGCCTCTCCCACCCCTGGGAGACACCTCTCCCATCACAACTCTGCTTCTGCCGCAGACCAACGGATGTCACTCAAGTGTACGGCTGCATCTCCATGGTTCTCCCTTTCCAGAAACCCACCCCAACTAGAGACTCGTTTCCTCTTCCCAAATTTCACTTCTTCCCACAGATTTAGTTTAGGACGACGCTTTCGACTTTCCCTTCTGGTGCAACACCCTCGCCCCTTCCCTTTGCCATCTGCAGAACGAGGTGAGACAACCATCGTCCCTACTTCCCGGGGTGGAACAACAAGGCCTCGTGCACGTTTTCCACCCACGCAATGGTCAGTGGGCGCTTCTCCTCCTCGTCTGGAATTCAGAGCAGTAGTTCCCAGTTGCTTTCACGACACGAGAGATTTAATCCAGCTTTTACGGAAAAGCCAAGCCCAAGCTGAAGGAAAACCACAGACCACATATTTGGAGGTTCAACATTCATCTGAGTCTTGTGGCATTTTACAGTTTGAGGATCTTTTGCTACCGGTGCCCTGAGGCAGAAGATGCTTTTTTTCGCCCAAACATCTCCATGCTCACAGCCCCGCCTTGTCCTGTTACCTGTGGACACCAGTCACGCTCTCCTCTACGATCCCCTTGATCTTCTTAAACATGTTGGGATATTTCTTGTAAATCCAGTGAGTCAGATCTCCTCCGTCATCCAAGATCTGCAACACAAAGAACCACAAAGTCACCGCTCTGAAGATCCGCTGAGGCTGCTGACCCCAGCGAGGTACGGGGAAAATCACAGGCTCGAATCGCTCCTTGTGGAGCCCACGTTTCGGCGTCTCCAGCACCACATCATGATGGCTCAGGTGAGACCACGCGGCCTGACTGTCCCGAGCAGAAGTGCTGCCTCATCGATCCTGTGCTGGAAAGGCAACAGGTCAGACAAACACAACAGACCCCGATGTTTGTAACGACACTGGGGGAAACATGGAAAATTGCTGTGGAAGCTCCTTTCTCCCCATCTCCCAGAAGCACAGATGGAAAAGCCTTTGAACCATACAGAGTCATCAGCTCTTCTGATATGACTGCTAATGGAGGAGGGAGGAGGATGGACAAGGAGGAGGATGGAGAAGGAAGATGGAGGAGGAGAAGGATGGAGGAGGACAGAGGAGGATGGAGGACGGAGGAGGAGGATGAAGGAGGGCGAGGATGAAGGAGGACGGAGAAGGAGGAGGATGGAGAAGGAGGAGGATGGAGAAGGAGGAGGAGGACACAGAGCCACTCATGCCAATTAAAATGCAACTGCATCATAAACCACTATATTAAAAATACTGAACCTCTTCCAGACGACAACTTTGGGTCTCTGCCCATTTCATCTGGCTTCGAACCTGAAAATCAGAAGCACAAAACTCTCCTTTCATAGAAACATGGAATCACGGAACGGTTTGGGTTGGAAGGGACCTCAAAGATCATCCAGTTCCAATGCCCCTGCCATGGGCAGGGACACCCTCCACTACACCAGGTTGCCCAAAGCCCCATCCAACCTGGCCTTGAACACTGCCAGGGATGGGGCAGCCACAGCTTCTCTGGGCAACCTGTTCCAGTGCCTCACCACCCTCAGAGGGAAGAATTTCTTCCTTGGATCTCATGGAAATCTCCCCTCTTTCAGTTTAAAGCCATTGCCCCATGTCCTGTCACTACATGCCTTTGCAAAAAGTCCCTCTCCAGCATTCTTGTAGGATGCTGATCATCCTCCTCCTCCTCCTCCTTCTCCTCTTTGATTGTTCCCTATCATAATCATCATCATCCTCATCTTTGCATGTCCCCTACACCAACGTCAAAGACTTCCGACTGCCAAGCCAGCCGTTATCGACCTACTGGTGTGCCGTGCAGGTCTCCTAAAATGCAGATGGCAAACCTGGGCAGAAGCATCTCTGCTCGTTGGCCAGCGGTGGAACCTGGCAAGGACCCTCTGCCGCCGGTGTCTCCAGCTCTCCCACCAGTATCTGCAGCCACCTGGAAAAACTTAACGCTCCCACTGTGCTCCTGCGACAGAAGCCCCGTTGCGGGCACAAGGACGACGTTGTGAGCTTTGTCACGACATGACGTGGTGGCTGCATGGAGCCACCACTCCGACGTCCATGGGCAAAGAGTTGCTTGGAAATGCCATGTGCTATCATAACCTTCTTCTCTCTAAATTGCAGGATTTCCCACTGAAGGTGAACGCTGTGGGTAGCGGCTGCTCCTCCAAGAATGTCTGGAAAGCAGATGGTGTCCTGCCAGAGCAGAGCAGACCATGGGTCTTCCACGACTCTTGAGTCTCCAGGGAAGCCCTGGATCCACCTCCCGTTCCCAGGCTGGGAAGCGGAGGCAGGTAGGGGTTAAGTGGGCTGAGAAGCTCTCCTGGGCCAGCCGAGGTAGGAATTCAGCACGTCTTCATTTCATTAATCCCCATTTAATAGGGAACATAATCCTCTTTCAAAGAGAGAATTCTGGGGGTTGGCAGTTTCTTCTCTCCCAGGAGGGCAGGAGATGGGAAAAAAAACACCAAACCAAATCAGCGGAGGAACTGGTTTTTGATGGAAGGTCACCTTCACGTAGCAGCTCCAAGCGGCCAACGGCAAAGCCTGTGGTACGCGCCCCGTATTCCTGCAGTTTTCACGGCTCTGCACAGGTTATCCACCTTCATTCCAACTCTTCCCAGGCATTTTTTTTCCGGGAAAAAAGCTGCAGTTCCTCAACCTCCCTCTTGATTTTGGCACTTCCATCTCGGAGCAGAGCGTGCTGGAGTGGTCATGCCCATGAAAAACATCTTCCCATCACCCTGTGCCTGCAGGGACGTTTCTCTCTTGGGAGATGGGACCGTCCTCTGACCCAAGCACCTGGAGATATCTCGTCTTGCTCCTCCACAGCAGTACTCGCCCTGAATTTTAATGTTTTTTGACTGATTCAGCGTATCCTGTCCCCTTGGTAGATGTTCCTCTCTCCGTGCTTTTCTCTCCAAGTAACCAATTTCACAATGCTGTCTGCACAGAAGGGCTGTGACGTCTCGCTCCCTCGGTCCTTCCATTTCATGTTTTCTCCAGCAGAAAATCTGGCTCTTCCATGGTTTCTCAGGGTGCCATTTTACAACCTCTTTAAACCCATCTAAGACCCCGGTGCCACCGAATGTCTCACCCTGTCCTTCTTCCAACTCTCTTGGGGCAACAGCCAGCACCTCGTGGTTGACCTTGCCAAAATGAAGCTGATCAAAATTAGCCAGCATTAGCTCAGCAGCATGGTTGAAGATAACTCACTACAGAAAATGACCGCTGGAAACCCAAGGAGAAGGCAGAAAGGCATGGTTGGAAGCAGCATCGAAATCCCCTGGTGGCAGCGTGGTCCTAGATCAGTTCATGCTGCAAAGGAAACCAAACTCCCAGCACGACAGATTCAGTGTTTTTCAGAAAAAGAAGCTTCTAAGCCATTCCCACCCAGACAGAGCATTCCTCTGAAGGTCTGCTATGCCCATGAGAAAACCCAAGGTGTCTTCTTTGGGAACTCTCAATATTTGTGTCTAACTGTTCCCATGGAGCAGTGCCACACAGAAGCCCTCACATTGAATATTCAGATTTTTGGATTACAAGACATCTCTATTTATTTGCATGGGACGTACAAGGTCAGCTCCATCACGCTTGCAGTGCACACCTGGACACAGGACTGGTGGGGGCCAGCGAAGCAATGCTAAACAGGACTCCTGGGGTGTATTTCACAGAATCATAGAATGGTTTGGGTTGGAAGATTATCCAGTCCCAACCCCCCTGCCATGGGCAGGGACACCCTCCACTACACCACATTGCTCAAAGCCTCATCCAACCTGGCCTTGAACACTTCCAGGGATGGGGCAGCCACAGCTTCTCTGGGCAACCTGTGCCAGTGCCTCACCACCCTCAGAGGGAAGAATTTCTTCCTTAGATCTCATGGAAACCTCCCCTCTTCCAGTGTAAAGCCATTGCCCCTTGTCCTGTCTACACACTCTTGTCCAAAGCCCCTCTCCAGCTTTCCTGTAGCCCCTTTAGGCACTGGAAGGTGCTGGAAGGTCTCCCCGGAGCCTTCTCTTCTCCAGGCTCAACAGCCCCAACTCTCTCAGCCTGTCTCCATAGGAGAAGAAGATCCTTCCCACACTTATTCTTCACCCAGTGCCAAACATCCTGTTTCTTGACTTTAAAAACGTGGACCTCCAAAATCTGGCGTGGAAGTCGTTGGGAATTGCCACATCCAAGGTCTTTGGTGCTCCCCAGCAATTATTCCTGTGCTCCAGAAGCAGGTCTAAAAATACCCTGATGGCTGGAGACACGTTGCGGAATCAAGAGGGCTGAGGAGATCCTGGGAACGTGTAACACGTGTGTTCTGGTACGTTGACTTCTTCAACTGCTGACACTTCCGATGGCAAATCATTCCTCAAACAGAAGAAGAAAGCAGCTATCGTGTCTCAACTCAGACTCGTAGCTCGGGGGTGGATTTTTTGGCACTCACCATTCTTTTTAAAGGTGACAGCGAGGAAGTGAGCAGGTGTAGACTGGAAGGGACAAAAACCCAGCTCAAACAAGCTGATATTGGCAAACAAACAACACAGACACGTGCACATCTTCCACCTCTGATTGCTTTTCGTCTAATTTAGATCACAAGCTCCAGGGCTCAAAACCTGTCGGGAAGCGTGAGGAAAACAGCACATTTGGCAGCTGCAAATTATTCCGCTCGCCCAGTTCAGGGTTCTCCGTTTTCCCTAGAAACGAGGGCGGAATAAACCAGTTATGGAGTTGGGCTACCTGAGGTTTCGTGTTTGCACAGTCCATCTCCTAAAATCTACATCTTTTTCTGTTTAGGCAGCCTTGCCTAAATTAAAAAAAAAAAAAAAAAAAAATCAAGCAAAGCTGTGAATTTAATCGAATATGGCAAAAGGGATGCGACCCCTTTCCAGGACGTTCTGATTTTGAGTCATTTTATACCAACTGGATTCAATCAGTTTGGTTTCAACTCCAGCGAGCGACGCTGGAAGCAAACTAAGCACCTGATTTGCACTAACGGAGCCGTTTTTATTTAGAAAATAGTTAAATAATAGGTAAGAGCCCCACGCAGAGGTCGTTTAACCCACCTCCTCCCCGCCTTGACACCCGTGAGACGGAGATGAGCTGATTTCCCGCACGGAGCAGTGAATTGCAAAGCACTTTGAAGGCAAGCGCCGCGTCAGCACCAAGCCTTGGCCACTGAGCCAGGTCGAAATTCAGGAGGAAAAACACAGACCAGCACTAAACCCTCCTCCTCCTCCTCTCTAGATGAGAAACACTCACGCTTCAACACCCGCCAAGCGTTTCACAGCCTCGCCTCACCATGTTGGGCTGCCACCCTTCGACGTTGACGCAGCGATCGATGCACCACCAGAAGTCGTCTTCGGATTCTCCCTTCCAGGCGAAGACGGGGAACCCTGGCACAGAGAGGGAGATGGGTGCTAACACAGCCTTAGCAAATCCCTTGGGGGTGGGCTCTCCCTACGTCCACGCGTGACGAACCAGGCTCCCGACACCACTGCGGTCTTGCTTGCAGTCTGATTTTTCAACATCTACCTTCTAGAAGAAGCTTCAGAGATACACATTGAAGACACACACTGAAGGCAGGTAGGAGTCAGCTTTAGCCTTCCTAATTCCTTCTCTCCCCCAAGAAAAAGCCCATAGCCACCAGACAAGAAGGCAATACGCTCTCAAACGATAACATTTATTCCCAAAATCAAGCTTTCACCGCAAGTTAGATGTCGTCCTACCTTCCTGTTAGGCACGTTGGCCACAAATTTACTTGAATGTGGTCTGACTCATGAGCAATTATTATTCAGATTCGACGAGCAAGAGCAGGTAACAGGCAAGCTGGTGGGTTTGGCTTCTTCTAGATCTCCCAGCTCTCACGGTAAAATCCGTTACCCAGCTAACACAGGATTTGATTAAGGCATCTCCCAGTTGAGCGGTGACACGGACAGCTTCAGTGAATTATGTCCCTAGAAGTTCTCTCCCTCATCCCTTTTGAGCCAAAGTTATGACTCGAATTTATAGAACTGAAATGAGATTCAGCTTAGTTTCTTTTGGCCAAATAACTTTCAGGTTCATGCAGCCCTGATGGCTCATAACGTGCGTCATCAGCCATTCCACGATTTTCAGACCATGGAAGGGATTGACCTCATGCTCTTTACCTCCTGTAGGTCTATCCTAAATTGAAGAGAACGAAGGCAAAAACTAGAAGAGATGCTAAATATGATGGGGCAGTAAGAAACCTTTTTAAAACCAGAAGGAAGAAGGAGGGGGAGGTTTCCTACCGCTCTCAGCAAGGGCAGCAGCCACTTCATTCAGAGTGGAGTAGATGTTGCACGCAGCCCATCGGCACTGCGCACCCAACGCGCCCAGAGTCTCCATGAGGACCTGGATTTAAGCAAACAACCAAACAGAAAAGTCAGAAAAAGCAACGCAAAGAGCAAGATACAACGCAAAGAGCAACACACAACTGGGAGCTTTATTTGCTATTTATGGGAAAGCTTCTGGTGGGGGTATCTGAAGTTGGTTTTAAGCAGCATCGGGGTCACTAGAGAGTTGCACAGAAAACAATTTTGCAGTTACTTTTTTTTTTTCAGTTTTAAATGGATGAAGTAAATAAGAACTTCAAAGCGTATTCTACACGCAGCATGTATACGTGGGTGGGTGCATATAAATATGTATATATGTATGTGCAGATTTCACTCAGCAAAGTCCCAAATCTAGTCAGGAGACAGCACTCCCGTCCCACGTTTGGAGGAGAAACCACAGCTCTTGAATTGCATAACTGCTCTGATCACTGACCACCACTTCCACCCGTTTATACCAGACAGATAATTCCATTTCCTCAGTTACCACTGCTCCAGCGATGCCTTGTAGCCCCACGCATCCCATCGCCTGGAAGCACAGGCTCTGTTTATCCAGAAACATCCACAAAATCAACCCTTCTCTTTTTAATCAGTGCCACGTGCTGGACTCAAGAGATTTTATCTCCATATCGACTGTTTGGGGTCTGTTTTAGAGAATAGGCAGCGGGAAAATCCCTGTCTGGAGTTCACGGACGGGGTCTTACAGCCGTCTGCGCGGTGATGTGCGTGCAGCCCACGATCTTGGCCCCGGCCAGTGGCTTCTCTCCCTGAGCTCTCTTCCTCAAAGCCATCAGCGCAGGCATTTCTGAAAGGCAAAACCCAAAAAGAAGTCCATCAATGTGATGGAAAGAAGGACGAGCGCAGAAGAAACAGGCAGCATCGCTTCTTGCCCCGCTACCCCGTATCCCTATGGATTTGTACCCTCTGAGGCCTTTTCCCCTATTATTTAGGACGCAGCATCATCGCCATTTAAACTTCTGCCAGGTGAGGCTGGAGGAAAATCTGCTTCAGACCGTGGAGGACGTGGGACTCGCTGCTCTGATCAGCTTCTCCAACATCCCTCCAACTACCTAACCGTTGCATTGCCTTTGCTACGGATTTTTGGAGGCAATCGTGCTAAACCAAAGTTTTATGTCTGATTTATGCGATGGATTTCATCTTTTCTACTGATTTTAACAAAGTGCATTTGACTACAGAGTAGCCCTTCAGTAGCTGCTTGGTTGGAGCTACATGGTTTAACTCTATAACTCCTTTCCATCCCACAAAACCCCATAGAAGTTCTCCCTCTCTAACAGGAATGGTGTCAAGAAATCACTAATGCACCGAACCTTGCAAGAAGAGGATTTGGGGGAAGGAAGAACCCCCCCCAAGACAGCCCAGGACAACGTGGAGCTTGAGGAACGTGCCCCATTTACCTTGTTCAGCAATTTCAATCTCTCGGCGCCCAAATTCCGCCTGCTTTATGTTCTTCACACAGAAATCACTGCTGCCTTTGGAGTTCTTCTGCTGCTTGTCTCGGGGGGAGGTCTCGTCATCAGAGCTGTCTGTGTAGGAGGCAGCTGGAGGAGGAAAAGGAGGTCAGAGACAGAACAAAATATTCCCTAGAGCCAAACCACCTGCAGTGGGAGGGCGCAGATGATCTGCTGAACGTGCCTGTGGATGTGCTTCTCCATGTGCACGTGCCAACTCTCTCTACCCTCAGCTGGGATCTGCTCTTCTCCCTACAAGGACCATTTCCCCACAGTCAGCTTTTACCTGCAATGACCTCCTCACTCTTATCTATCCCTACTGCAACACCACACAGGAGGTTCCTTCCAATCAACATCCCTGTACATCCACAGACAGCTCAATCCAGCCCTTGGATATTTTCCTTCTTTTCTATTAGAAATAACAAACCCTTGGAGATGTATTTAATATTTTGCCTTCCTGGACCTTCTTTAATCCCTTCTCCCTCTTGCTCTTTTGGTAAGAGAAGATGAAGAAAGGTGGCACCACTTCTCTCAGTAAGTTGCTGTCAGTAACTGTTTTCCTTTCCTACCAACGTCCTCCAAACTCTTGGTTAGGCAACTGGTCTATGGCAGAGGACAGACAGAGATTTATTGAAGAGTCCTTGGTGGAGTTAGAAGTTCTCCTTCCCGTTCAGTTTGATTACTAAGATCACACGTAGAGTCCATTTACGATTTGAGCCGTGATGAATTAGACACTACTTCTGCTTCCAGTTTATCCGGATCAGCTGAAGAGGCCATTTGTGCCATGTTCTCCTCTGGAATATGCCCCGATGTGGGAGACCAGACCTCTTTCATCTTCTAGGACCAGCATCAGCAGTCAAAGCAACACATAAGGCTTGGAGATGAACCAGAAAGCATCTGTCCTCTTTCCTTTCCAGAGACAAAGCACCTGGAACACGGGACACTTGGTCCTGCTGAGCTCACCACCACCACCACCTCCTCCTCTTCCTCACTGGCAGGAGCCATACCTTGGGACCCAACTCAAAAGTCTCATCCACATGGTCATCCCCCATTCCTCATGAAAGCACCCTGAAGTTTTACTCCAGGTCTTTACTCTCTAGATCACGTGGTTCTTCTAAAATGAACACAAGACCTGACACCAAATTGTTGGTAACAGTGGAAGAGGACCACCTTTGTAGAACAGCCGCGGTGGAGTTGGCCAACAGTGTGCATCGCCAGGCAAACAATGTGGATGTGTGAGACCATCACATATGATGATGAGCTCTCTTTGCTGTCTTGATGACGGGGTCTCCTTCTCCCCAAACACCAGGAAAGAACTGGTTCAGTCTTTACTCAGGAAACATCGCACAGTCAAACTCAACAGCTACTGGCTTTGGGTGATGTGTTGCTCATGCGTGAGCCAGCTACTCTCCCAGGGAAGAGAGAGGGAATGACCTACACCAAACACTCAAGGAAGTCGTTCTACCCAACAGTCAGTACAGATTCCCAACATTCTACCGCGATTCCGTGCCAGGGGAATTTGGCAGCACGAAGGGCGAGCGCCCCTCGCACAGCATCAGAGGGTGAATGGCACAGCTGAACCTGTGGCCTTACCAGTGCTCCCAAAAGAGCTGCAGCTTTCCAGAGGCATCCAGACCTCACATGAAGATTGATACCAAGAGCTCCTTCAGAGAACCTGGAGTAAAGGCAAACCGCCTCTCCCCACCATTTCAATAGCTCTCAACGTTTTCACCCCCAAAATCCCAAACCAAGGAGCTAAACCAGCACCAGCTCAACCCTACCAGCACGGCCATGGGTTTGTCTTTCCCGCAGCACCCAGCAAAAGCTGATTAATTTCTCTCCTGGCTTGCGCGAAGCGTTTGAACGATCCCGAGGCGAAAAAGCTTAGCGCTGCCGCTGTCGGCGTGCCAGGCTCCCTAGGACCCGCTCAGCTCCTAATCCACTTACGGAGGAGAATTAGGCATTGCTGGAATTTCTCTGCAAAGACTCCGTCCTCAGCGGGGTGCGAAAGGCAAGTCCGACCCTGCGAGCGATGCCTCGACGGCACGATACCTCCGAGTCCGTGCGCACGAGCCCACGGCAGCTCTTGAAGGACCAGGAGCCAGGCTTGGTAACAAAAGAGCATCTTATATAATACCAACCTCTTGAACATCAAGGACTCCAGGAGGATTAATTAGTTGAAGGAGGATTATTGCCCTGAAGACAGCTAATCCGTGCAGAGGGTTCTTTAAAACCACAGATCTTGGGTTTGGGGGCTGAAAGTAATTTTTTGGTAACACAAAACCTCGCCTAGCTGGTAGCCAGATTTGCATATGCAGATGTTTTTTTTATGTTACACACGTGTAATATCTAACAGTGCGTGGAGCACGATGGTAATTACACTAATATCGTTAGGGGCCGAGTGTAACAGCGTAATAACAGACAACAGTCAATTTTGCCCTTGCTCTCCTGGGAAATGAAAAACAAGTACGGAAAGGAAAGGATCCCCAACATCTGCAATCCAGAAATATCCAACTAACCGACGGAACAGTCAGTCTCCTAAATATCTGAAATCACCCAGAAGTTGATTAAGGAAAGCTCCATAACCGGGGTTGGCATTCCACAGAGCTGCGTACAATCTGGGCACCAGCAGCCCGGAAAGCCAACCGTGTCCTGGGCTGCACCCAGAGCAGCGTGGGCAGCAGGGCGAGGGGGGGGATTCTGCCCCTCTGCTCTGCTCTCCTGAGACCCCCCTGCAGTGCTGCCTTCAGCTCTGGGGGCCCCAACACAAGAAGGACATGGAGCTGCTGGAGTGGGGCCAGAGGAGGCCACGGAGATGATCCGAGGGCTGGAGCACCTCTGCTATGGAGACAGGCTGGGAGAGTTGGGGCTGTTCAGCCTGGGGAAGAGAAGGCTCCGGGGAGACCTTCCAGCACCTTCCAGTACCTAAAGGGGCTACAGGAAAGCTGGAGAGGGGCTTTGGACATGGGCATGTAGTGATGTGCCCCCTTGGACAAAGGGCAACGGCTTTAAACTGGAAGAGGGGACATTTCCATGAGATCTAAGGAAGAAATTCTTCCCTCTGAGGGTGGGGAGGCACTGGCACAGGTTGCCCAGAGAAGTTGTGTCTGCCCCATCCCTGGAAGTGTTCAAGGCCAGGTTGGATGAGGCTTTGGGCAACCTGGTGTAGTGGAGGGTGTCCCTGCCCATGGCAGGGGGGTTGGAACTGGATGATCTTGAAGGTCGCTTCCAGCCCAAACCATTCTGTGATTCTATGATTCTACACCATTTTAATATAAACTGTATTATTTCAAAGAGAACGACAGGAAAACACAGGTCTCAGGCACTGGTATCCAGTGGAAAAACATTGAGGTGGGGGGGAAGGAGACACATGAAGCTCGTGTCCTAATCCAGCAAAGACCAGGTCAGAGCCCAAATCCACCAAAGTTTAGCTTTGCTAATATTTCAGGTGAAGACCCACTCACATCTGTAATATGATCTTTGAGGTCCCTTCCAACCCTAAACATTCTATGATTCTATGACTCTATTGGCATCGTTGAGGGCAAAAAAGGGGCGACCTGTCCCTGCTACAGCCCAGCTGTGAACACAAACCTCGTTCCTGGTCTTCTCAACCTTTCGAAAGTTCCGGAACAGCCTGAGGATGAAGTCAATTTAATTAAAGATATTACTGTTCTCCTCTGCCTTCAGCGCCCACACAACGCGCACGCGGCACATCACACACGCCGCCGAGCGCTTTAATATTCAAAGTGCTGCGCTGGTATAAACCAGCCGATTCCCAAAAATCTTTGTTGGAGCAGGTAACGATTATCCGAGTTTTGCAGCAAGAGAAAGAAGAGTTGCCGAAATTTAAGCGATTTCATAGAATCATGGAATGATTTGGGATGGAAGGGACCTCAAAGATCATCCAGTTCCAACCCCCCTGCCATGGGCAGGGACACCCTCCACTACACCAGGTTGCCCAAAGCCCCATCCAACCTGGCCTGGAACACTTCCAGGGATGGGGCGGCCACAGCTTCTCTGGGCAACCTGTGCCAGTGCCTCACCACTCTCATTCTTCCCATTACTGCTTCTAGCAAAGCCCAGTTAGCAACACATTGCACCTTGGAGTACGCTGCTCCACATCGCAACGTCGTGATTGTACATACTTTGGAGACCAGCTGATGATTTTCATAGAATCATAGAATCATAGAATGGTTAGGGCTGGGAGGGACCTTCAAAGGTCATCTAGTCCAATCCCCCTGCAAGGAACAGGGATATCTCCAACTAGATCAGGTTGCTCAGGGCCTCGTCTAACCTGGCCTTGAATTTTGACTGAACTCTTCCAGTTTTCATGAGCAGGAAGAGCGAGAAACCACCGGCTGTTTGCAGAGATGGTGTTTCCACACCCAGGTCTCTCTTGCATCACTAAATAGGCACTGACACCGCTCCACCGTTTTGGGCAGAGGTGCTGGGATGACTGCCTTCCCACCAGGCATGTCTCAGGGAAGGGTCACTTGGGTTTCACTCACTTCTTCACTCATGCCCACCACCTCCAAACCTTGAGACCTCTACACAACTCTTGCATGTCCAAAGAAGAGCAATGAAGCTGGTGAAGGGTCTGGAGTACAAGTGTTACAAAGAGCAGCTGAGGGAACTGTTGTGCCACGGGAGGTTTAGATTGGATATTAGGAAGAATTTCTTCCCCAAAAGGGTTGTCAGGGATTGGAACAGGCTGCCCAGGGAAGTGGTGGAGTCACCATCCCTGGAGGGATTTAAAAGACGTGCATCCCTTCATTATCATCTCTCTGCTCCTCATGCTTCTTCTTCTCCAGCCTTCTCCCATCCCAGGAGGGCTTAATGGGTTGTTTAGACCGTGCTACTGCTCTGCCCTAAAAGGAGAATGACAAAGATCCACACCGAGAGGCACTAAAGGGATTTATCTACCCGTCCTGGGAACAGAAGTCTTCTGTCTTGACTGTCAGCCCAGCAGTTCATTATCATCTCTCTGCTCCTCATGCTTCTTCTTCTCCAGCCTTCTCCCATCCCAGGAGGGCTTAATGGGTTGTTTAGACCGTGCTACTGCTCTGCCCTAAAAGGAGAATGACAAAGATCCACACCGAGAGGCACTAAAGGGATTTATCTACCCGTCCTGGGAACAGAAGTCTTCTGTCTTGACTGTCAGCCCAGCAGCTTTCATTAGGAGGGAAACACAACACTTTCACCAGCTAATTAATCGCAAATGCTGACGCTTTAGCAGGAGATGCTGGGTGCAAGGGGTGGAGAATTCCCCAAAGTTGCTCCGAGTTCTTTCAGCTGTGAACAGGGAGCAAACATGGTGACAGGAGCCAGGCTAATCAGCCTGTCGGTCATCAAAAAATGAGTCATGAGCCAGACCCCGCTGATCAGATATCGGAGGGAGCGGTAAAATCTCCACAAATGTTAAATTCATCACAGATCTGTATTAGAGAAGTCCAAGCGTTAATGCCAGCGTAGAACATGCAGCTCCAGACAATAACGTTACAAACACAATCCAGGTGGTTCACAAAGTGCAAACGGAGCCCAGGCTGATGTCTCTCTGGAGAGGACACAGCACGTACTGTTCCTCGATTTCTCCTAAAAGCCCTTTGCATGGGAACGCAGCCACGGCAGGGGTGATGGTCACCCAGGTTGTTCCCAACCTTCGGGGGCTCCTCCAAGCTTCTGGATGTTCCTCCAAGCGTGTAATCAGAGAATCACAGAACAGTTTTGGTTGGAAGGCACCTCAAATATCATCCAGTTCCAGCCCCCCTGCCATGGGCAGGGACACCCTCCACTACACCAGGTTGCCCAAAGCCCCATCCAACCTGGCCTTGAACACTTCCAGGGATGGGGCAGCCACAGCTTCTCTGGGCAACCTGTGCCAGTGCCTCACCACCCTCAGAGGGAAGAATTTCTTCCTTAGATCTCATGGAAATCTCCCCTCTTCCAGTTTAAAGCCATTGCCCCGTGTCCTGTCACTCCACACCCTTGTCCAAAGCCCCTCTCCAGCTTTCCTGTAGCCCCTTCAGGCACTGGAAGGTGCTGGAAGGTCTCCCTGGAGCCTTCTCTTCCCCAGGCTGAACAGCCCCAACTCTCCCAGCCTGTCTCCAGAGCAGAGGTGCTCCAGCCCTCGCATCATCTCTGTGGCCTCCTCTGGACTCGCTCCAGCAGCTCCATGTCCTTCTTGTGTTGGGGCCCCCAGAGCTGAAGGCAGCACTGCAGGGGGGTCTCAGGAGAGCAGAGCAGAGGGGCAGAATCCCCTCCCTCGCCCTGCTGCCCACGCTGCTCTGGATGCAGCCCAGGACACGGTTGGCTTTCTGGGCTGCCAGCGCACGGTGCCGGCTCATGGTGAGCTTCTCATCCACCAACACCCTCAAGTCCTTCTCATCTGGGCTGCTCTCAATCCATTCTCTGCCCAGCCTGTGCTCATGCTTGGGATTGCCCTGACCCAAGTGCAGAAACTTGCAGTTGGCCTTGTTGAACTTCATGAGGTTCTCACAGGCCCACCTCTCCAGCCTGTCAAGGTCCCTCTGAACGGCATTGCTTCCCTCCAGCAGACACACAGCTGGAATCCGCAGGTGGGATATGGCCCAAAACACCCTCATACAAGCAGATGTGGGTGGACTACCTTCAGATTTGATTATCAGCCACAGGCTTTCAGAATGGGACATGTCCATGGCCAGCAAACCCTGCAACCAAAAACCTACTGTAGCTCACAGCATGTCCTTCACCCCAAACCAGAATTATTTCTTGTCATACACAAGGTGTCTGGCTGAGGTCAGGGTTGAGCTCTCGTGGTCTCTCATGCTCTAAACTACCAGATAACTACCCAGATGCCCCATCCCTGGAAGTGTTCAAGGCCAGGTTGGATGAGGCTTTGGGCAACTTGGTGTAGTGGAGGGTGTCCCTGCCCATGGCAGGGGGGTTGGAACTGGATGATCTTGAAGGAGTATAACTGCCCGTAACTTTACCTAATGGCAAAAGATTTCCATTTGCTTTTAAAGATCTGTAAACTTTTAATTAGGACAATAAACAGGAACAATGGACGCAGCCTGGCACCCACCGGAGCTGTAGCTGTCCGTCGAGGACTGCGAGATGGAGCGGGAAAGCGAGCGGCGGCCGATCTTCGTGGGGCGCTTGTTGAACTCTTGCTTTTGGTCGGCGAACTGGATCTGTTAGAAGAAATGAACAGTGAAACCAGATGGAAAAACCCAACAGGCTGATACAGAAGACTAATCCAAAGAACCCAACGCCTTGAGCAGACACCGACACCATCTCGGTTATGGGCTGGATTGCAATTCCTATTATTTAGGAGTAAATTTGGGGACAGGGCACACTAAGTCGCCTACTTCGCTTAATTTCAGACCCTTCACCAGACGCAGCATCGACACATTTCTCTTTCAAATACCTGAAGCTCCTCTTTCAACCATACAAATTACAAATCTTCTGTCCCCATTGCACACCATCTTCTTTTCCCAAAATGCTAACGATACGGGTTATTTGTCGCAAGAGAAGCCCCGCTAGGACCACCCAACGTTTGCAGAGATGACGCAGTGCTGACCTATCTCGCAACATTTATTGCGGTGACCAACACAAGATGCTCCCTGTTTGCTGCACGAGACACGAAGGGCAAAAATAAAAACGCTTCGAGTAACGAACGCCACTTCCAGCTGCACTCTATATGAAGAACCATTTGTGATCAGATCCATCACTCAAGGCTGATGGAACCGTCGGGAGCACGGATGCCTGGAGAAGACACCGATTTAAGAGTATTATATTTAAGAGTAGACAACTTCATAGAACAAATCAAGAAATGAAGGATAAGGCACGTAGATGAAGCGATGCACAGATTGGCAAAACATAATTATCCACGTTGGAGAGAAGGAACCAACTATCATTTATCAGCAACACCTAAAATAATACCACAACAATGGATGTAACAGCAGTATCTTGTGGCATTTTGCATCATAGAATCATAGAATCACAGAGCGGTTTGGG